CGGGTGAACCTTGATCGCAGAATGTTCCAAAGAATGCGTACCATGACGTGTCGAGCTGTATACAGGAGACTGTGTCTATAAAATGGTCGTTCAGCCTTTCTGAAATTCCTTAGCAATAAAGATGGACCGGGCGCATATATGTCAGAACACTCGACATTTTGTGTATGTTTATAACAAAAGTAAACGAGGGAAGTGTGTCGCGTGTCACTCTTGATTTTCTCTAAATTTGGAAAAGATGTTCTTCGGCGAGCATTAGGAACGCCTTAAAGGAGCGATGCAAAAATTTTTGTACTTTGCGAAAATACCGCTTAAAACGGATCCCTAACGTGAAAGACCTATGAAACACGCGTTCGTTCTTCACCCCACGCAATAGAAGTCCCAGAAAAAAATTTAAGAAAAACCAGCAGCGTTCACCCCCTCAACTCACAGCCAGAACAAGCGGTCACATGATCTGGAGCCGATTATATGCCGCCAGTGTTGATCATAGCCACGCGCTGGGGTTGGCAAAGCGCAGGACACGCGCTGAGTTCCAGACATTGTTATGGCTCGGCTGTTGTCGTCGTTGCAGCGATTGGACACGGGTCACTACCCGAATGCTTCTCGAGCTAGCAATTATCACGAGCCCAAGTCGAGTGCCCACGCAATGCTCGGGCCCAATCAATGAACCGCATTCAAATATCGTCACTTGGGTGTACTGCGATCCCCACGTTACGTCATCAAATTTTGCAAAGGAGAGATTGAATGAAAATGATCGCTTTTGTCCTTGAAATTACACCGCAACAGGGGGATCGGTGGCCGAGTGGGCTAGCGCACACCAGCTCGGAGCACGTGAAGCGAAAGCTCGCGCTGCAGAACTCGGGGATCCTGGGTTCAATCCCCACCCCTGCCCGTTTCGATCTGGATGAGCATCGTACCGGCGTGCGGTCGTGTATCACTACTGCGTGATGCACGTTTAAGACCCCAGGCTAGCGGTTGTACTGCACTGGCTAAATTGCTCATCTACAGCTGGGAGACTCGTCGCCCGTCGAGGCAGACCAAGTTCTAGGCTGTATAAACATGAACACAACCCAATTTTATTTTATTTTTTACACCGCAACAAAGGAGTTTCTTGGCCAGTGGCGTTGCGTGTGAGTATCCTTGAGTCCCAGGTGTGCCAGTAAGCTCGTGTAGAGTGAAAGACATTCCAATTGAATATCGTTGCACTGCTCCTTTAAGTTGTACTAATGAAGGAAGGTTCCATGTGTAAATCAGCGGCTCGTCATATAGCATGCTATTCCCACGCGTACGACAAAGGTGAACCACTTAACATCTTGCTTTCACCGCCAGTTCCGGGGCGGTACAGTAAAACTTTGTTCATATATCATCGCTCGACAATCTTGGACAATCGAACGAAATGCCACTTTCGTTTCCTTGGCTGACGAAAACGCCGCGAACATTCTCATGCACCTACCCTATTCTTAACCTCGTAGCGAAGGTTACTCAGAAGCGAGCCTCGTGGCAGTGCAAGCTGCCACCGTTCATCGCAATTTCTCGGGACGAAGTGTGGCGACCTCGGATTATGGCCGCTCGTTTCGCTGATGCGCCAGTCAGGAGAGTTACATCGTTGCCTTTCCAAACAAGCGAATCTCCCGGCGTGGAAACAACAACCACAACAAAAACAATATGAGAATTAAAGATCTGATTCCCGGAACACTGCAAGAGCGTAAAGTTGAAGTGAGTCAGACGAATAAATAAAGCTGTTAGAACGAGAACTTGTACGGGGGACTTGTCGGGGTACCAGGGCCGACCCCAACTGGGGGGCGTCAGAACTAAGCCGACAGAAAATCGGCGAGGGAACAGAACGAGGGCAACAAACACACAAACCAATAACCAACAAGCAAAGACAAATCGACGGACCAGGAAAAGACACAGGAGGAACCAGAACCGAGCATCGCTGTTGTGGCCTCAGGTGTCTGCATGCAGCGCGTTCACCTAGAGGAACTTGCACCGGCTTCGGGTCCCCAACATACAAAGAAAGAGAAGAACAAGAAAAAAAAAGGGGGGGGGGGGGGGGGGCTAGGAAAAAGAAAGGCTGCTTGAAGACCTGGCGGATTTCTCACTCCCTGACAGTCGCAACAAAAGCAGCCAACAAAGGACAGCATCACCGCGCGCATCACCATCGGAACAACAAGAACAAACCGAATCGCAAGAAAGAAGTACGAGAGACAGCAGAGGTCCGTAGAAGAGGAGCGAGTTGCGCGGCAAGAAGCCGCTGCAGCAGCGAGAAAGAAGCAGAGCTGTCGGAGCGTGACGTTGACGGATCGCTGCGGTCCGGCGTCAAGTCGCCGAGGCTCGTTTCTGGCGCAGCCGTAGCGCGTCTCCGAGAGCGTGCGCCTCGCCTCGCGGTCTCCTTGGACGGCCGCATGCAGCTCGCGCTGTTCGCCGAGGCTCCGATGGTGCGCGGGATGATGGAGCAGGAGAACCCCCCGTGCCCGACAAGAAGGGGCCCCCCTCCGAAGAAACGCTGCTGCCGCGTCCGATGCTGCCGCTACAACCACGCAACCACTGCGTCAGGCTTCGGGAATGAACGAGTCCGAACGGCGCGTCGTCGTCGTCGTCGTCGACGTTCTTTGATGGAACGGCGTTGAGCTTCTTTTTGTATGTCTTCTTTGTTTTTGAGGCCGCCAAACTTGGTCTCGAAGATAGTGTCTCGCAAGATGGGCTCTCTCTCTCTTTCTCTGCTGTGGGTAGCGCGCGCGGTGTTCTTAGATCGGGACGCGAAGAAAGAGCGACGTGGAATGCGGGACACCGCGAGGGATCTGTAGCGTCACGCTGAGTGGAAGGAGCGCGCCGTGGGAGGACGCTGTCCCTTTTATACTGTTGGTCGCTGCTGTGCATGTCGCTGGAGAAGAGGAGAGACAACTTCATTAGGAAGGTCGCCTGTCTGAGGTCTCGCGGTGCACCTGCGCTGCGGGTCTCTTGACTGGAAGTCTGCCTCTGGCACTATATAGCGGAGCTTGCTGGGAGGGAGACAGACTGGGCTGTATGGGAAATGGATCACGGCGATGGGCAATGCAGATTAGGCCCGCCGAAAAGGTTACTTCCGTGAGTGTTGGTGTGGGCTCTTTTTACCTTAACTTTCGTGGAAACATTTTTTTTTTTTTTAAGAAACTGCAGTTTGGCCGTGATGTCTTTATCGTTGGTTGACGTATTATCAGGACGAGACTTTGAGAGGCAATGAATTATGTTCTCGAGTGTACAGGGAATCCGGAATTGTTTCGGGCATATTAGTCCTGTATGCGGGTAGCGACGTGCGAGCTGCATAAGGCACATGACCCCACAAGGGTAGACATATTGGAACGCCTGACCCAAGCTGGGTAGCGGCTGTTGCTTGACGAGTCTATGGGAGACGCGAGTCTATGGGAGAATCACACTAAAGTAGGAAAATTGACCCTTGTACGCTGTGCTCGAAGTCAACTATTTTATGATGTAATGCGATCATTATATCTCATGTTTGGAGATCGTGTCAGGATTTGTCAAGCGTTCGAACGTCCATTAATAAATCAAACGTGCCAGAGCACCCGCGGCTGAGCTGGCAAGCTGGCTTTTGTAGTGGATTAAACAAAGGAACATGCCGTCAATAAGGCCGTCCTCGGGGAAGCACCGAAGTCGATGAATGTCGAAAAAGTTCCATCTTGACAGCGACCTTCCGGACATGAGCAAATTCAGCGTAGCAAAGCCTTCAAGTTTGTCGTTTGCTAAACCCGACTCATCGAAACCGCCACAGGCTACGCGGTAACTCTATAGGCAACTCTTTTCTCATTGCGCTGCACTACATCTTTCCCTCAGAGGAATCACTCTCGACCGCAAAACGTTTATTTATAAAAAATTGCGAGGACTGTCAGCTTTAATAGGGAGTTTTAGAATAACGTACGCAATTTTAGCGCACGCTAGCGCTAAATTTAGCGCTTGTATTAGCGCACGCGACGCAGGGGAGTTTTAGAATAGCGTTTCTCCGCCGCGACGCAAAAGCCCAAGCATCTCGCGCTTGCGACGCCACCAAGATACAGTCAAATTTTTATTTCACACACGAAATGATGTAACTTTAAAAGAAAGCGAGTTTTTTGGTCCAGAGTAGCATTTTAATTTGTTTAAACATGAGAACACGACGCGAGCGGTTGACCGGTCGTGTCCGCTTGCGTCGCCTCGGCAAGAGAGGTCTCGTGTACTGACCTTCGCACATCGTTCCTTCGCCGTGAAATGTTCGCGCGTCGCAAGCATCAAGTTGCCGGTGATCACTGCCAAACCGAGTACAATGTCGTCCTGTATTGAAAATTGCAGTCGCGAGGATGCAGCCGACGTCGCACTCACGACGCCGCCAAAGCAGCCGCCGACATAATCCTGGAAGCCGCCATTTTTTTTCAACTCTGCTCGTCTTGGCTTTAGCCAAATTCTCATCACGAATCCTCCTTGGAGAAGCGCAAAGAATCTTTGCGTACGCACGCTATGTCCGAGAAATAGCGCACGCTAAAATTACGCACGCAAAGTGCAAAATCTGGTTTGCGTTCGGAGCATGCGCAGTGGCGACGACGCTATTCTTTGCGCACGCAAAGCTTTAGCGAGCGCTATTCTAAAACTCCCTAATGTTCATTAACAAGCTATTTGATAGGCTTCCCGAAAAGCAGCCAAAAAGTTTCACTGCCGCAGGTTATAGGAACGGGGGAAATGCCACTTTTTCCTCGTTTTTTCCCATAGTTCCATGCATTAGCTGGTGTCAAGTGATGGCTGACGGCGGTGCCACTTGACCCGAGCAAGAGAAGCCTCAATCCGCGATTCAGCCTACTACAATAAACATCAGTGGCGCTAATACGATGTAGTTTATCCGTCCTTGAGCAATGTTTGCTGCTCGTCACTCTAGCGGGGGCCCAAGTGGAGGGATTACGAGGCAGTTGCCGAACACACTAAGTCCTGCCCCCGCGCGTACTAACGTTGTCCACGACGTGTCCCGCCTCTTCACGCAGACTCTTCGAACCCCGCAGACTTCGGGTACGGCGGGCAGGCCGGCTTCTACGACTTCTTCCCGGGCCAGCAGCCCCCACCGCCGCCTCCTCCTGGCGGTGGAGGTCCGGGCTCCGGCCCCGACGGCATGGGCTTCCCGCCAGGCTCCGGACCACAGGGCAACTCCCAGGGGGGCCTGGACCCCCACTCGGGCTCCGTCGGACCTGGTGCGTGCAAGGAAACGCTCCCTTTGGCCTCGGGCCAGTTAAAAGGCCGCTTATAAGTCACGTCTCTTTAACACGTACTCGGTTATTGGGAAGTCTTCGTAGATCGTTTTCGCTGACCCGCAAAGTTAAGGGGGGGGGGGGGGGGGGAGGGGAAGGAGGAGGAGGACGAGAGGCCCGCGAGGGGAGGGAGGAGAGGAGGCCCCAGCAAAATGAAAGATTTAGGGGGAGGGGCCGGGGCCCCAAAGTCCCCCCCCTTCCCCACCCCCCCCCCCCCCCCCCCCCTGGATACGTGCCTGAGTAAAGGCCATCGGCGCGCAGGCGCAGCAGCGGCTTCTTCTTTTGCAGAGGGCTTAGCGGAGGGGAAAAGGCGGTATACAAATACTCCCTATTATGAATAGTCCGCTATATAGACGAAACTTTCGGGGACGAACTGAGATTGTCCCGTTATTATGGAGTATGGACGATTTTTGGAAAAACTGAAGTCTCAATATTAGAGAGTTTTAGTAGAGCGTTCCGATCGATAACGATAGGCTGCAGGCGTAAAGATGTGATCGGTGTGTTGGGTATCGAGTTATCGGAGTCGTCCGAACGATCTATTAAAACTCTATTAACGAGACGTGTCTGTATAGCCTGGTCAGATCGTGTCCGATTCGCATTAGCGGTAAGCGGCCTTTTAGCGTGTCCTTCAACACTCCTAGCAATCCGAGGGAGAACTGCCCGCGGGTTACGCTCTGTCTGCCTCTTCTGTTCTTCCTTCCTCTTATCGGCACAGAGACGGCTGTAGACAATGAAAACTTAAGAAAAACAAGGCGTGGTGAATCCCGATCGCCTTTTCATCGTTCTGCGGACGACGAGATTGTGGCATTAGTTGATAAAAAAAGCCAAAAAGCGAATCGCAAAACCCTAAAAAAAAAGAAAGAAGAAAACAAGTTACTTTCTGCGTTTTCGGGGCTGTCAATGTCGCCGAGAAAGTGAGAATAGGAGGAGACGGGGGAAGGGCGCGGAATGTCAAAACGACGAGCTCTGGTTGGAAAGATTAGGGGGTAGATATGAAACTAGGTGCCTCTGTCTCGTCTGCATTGTCGAACGCAGAACGGCGGCTTCTGGCGTTCGGCTTCGAGCGCGTTCCACGAATGCAGTGGAGACAAAGCTTTGGGTCTACCCACTAATCTTTCCAACCAGAGCTCGGTGTTCTGACGTCACTGCGCGCACTCATTTCCTCCTCTCCCTCAGTTTCTCGGCGCATAGGAAGGTCAAACTCTTACCCTGTGCCCCGCTTAGATTCAGGATTATACACAATACAATATAGAATACAATTTTTCCAAATTGAATTTCTTTATTCAATTTTTATGACTTCTTTATTACAGTTCATACATCCGGTGAATAATCAGGCCCTTTAAATATACGGCACGTGTCAGTATGGGGTTACGACATAGACTAGGCCCACATCGAACATCTGAAAGTTCGAGGCTCGAAATTTTACCCAATCTCCTTTCCCTCTCCCCGGGCAAAGAAAAAGAAAAGGGAGAGAAAGAGACGGAGAGGGGAAGTATTTCGCTTATGGTCGGTTTTACCTCGCGATGAACCGCAGAGGATGCTACGAGACTTTGAAGCCAATCCACTACCGCGTGCGCGTCATGTGAGCTGCAGCAGAGGGGCGCAGCGACGCGCGGGGCGAATAGTCACGTGATAATTTCTCAGCTCTGGATTGGCTGGGGCCTCTCGTAGCATCTACTGCGGACCATCGTAGGGTAAAACGAAGTATAGAAAGTAGGTAATGTCTTCCCAAAAAAACTTGAGGATTTTTTGGTACCGCCATCCTATCGGTTCTGGCCGTGCAGGGAGGTCCGAGTGTAACGTGGCGCCATCTATCGCAGGGAGCGTGAACCTGGGCTCGGACGCGCCCTACCTGCAGCCTCCTCCGGCGTCCGCGCAGCGGTCTAGCCCCGACGCCGTGCTCAGCCTCCAGGGGGCGGAACCGTACGGCGCCCGCGCCGACAACGGTTTCGCCCCGCTCAACCACCCGCCAATCAGCGAAACGCCCGTCTGGTGACGTCACCGCCAATCACAGGGACCGTTTCCGCCCCCCTTCTGCGCGGGGACCCTGCTGCTGCCCCCCTCTGCCACGGGTCACGTGGCCACCGCTGCGCCCTCTCCCACGGAGGCGACGACGGCGCCACCCTGCGACGTGCGGGGCGGGGAAACTGTGAGGCGGAGAAAACGAAACCGAAACTAACAAGAAAAAGTGCGCGAGAGAAGGAGCGCTCAGGAAGCGAGGCAAGGCGGCGAGGGCCGCGCCCCGGCCGACTGGAAATTCTTCCTACGACAAGATCGCCTCCCGGCAAAAAAAAGAAAAGGAAATAAGAAGGGAGATGAAAGCTCGAAGAGGCCCGAAGACCTGAGCCAAGAGAGGAAAAAAGAAAGACAAAAAACGGAAGAAGAGAGCAAGACAGTCAAAAGGGCCCAAACGTGAAAGGGCTCTTTTTTTCCTTCATCTTCTTGTTGTTGCAGCGTCGCATCTTTAGGCTTGCCAGTGTCAGCAGGAAAAGAAGAAGAAAAATACCACGAAAAAATGCACACACATATCAAAAGAAAAAAAAAACGATGAATCTAGGAGCTACGAAGGAAGAGATAAAAGCAAACAAAACAAAACAAAAAAAACTTGGTCCGCTCAGCGTTCTTCTTGATCTTGCAAAGGAGCACCGAATCATCGGGGAATTTCTTGCCGCATTTGCCCGACTCTCCTCGTATCAAATATTCCAGGCGCTCGCGCTCGAAAGATCGCAGAAAGGAAACAAAAAATAAAATAAAATAAGACAAACCAAGATTGAACGCGCTGCGCCCTGGACCAAGGAATCGTTCACCGACCGCCGCTGCCAGCAGCTACAGTCACCGGCACAAAAGATACAAACAAGGAACGAGGACGGAAGACGAGCGAGACGCTTCCAACATTTCACTGCGCCTCAACAACATGGTCTTGTGGCGCGTACGTATGACGAGAACGATCCGAAAACACCGGATCGCCGGGCAACGCTTGCCCGCGGTCTTTGAAACGGGTCTACCCGCATTCCCCTTCCACGAGCGTGCCGAGAAGGAGAACCCACTGAACGGCACCCGCGCTTTTCAACCACTTTATTTATTTCCATCGCTCGAAGCAACGCCAGGCACAAACACACAAACATGATCACAAGCAATCCAGGGAGCACGCATGGGGGCCGTGGAAGCGAAAACCACAGCAAGTGCACTGTTCTTACATCCCAACCTCCATCATTTCGTTTTTACACTTATGCCCATGGGGAGTGCATTGCAGACGAACAAAATGGGTGGACGCGCGTTCTTGTTCAGTTAGTTATTAAAGGAGCTGTGCAACGATTTTAACGTTGAAAGAATTGGCATTTTCTGCTTTTGATATTGTTCACTGTGTCACAAATGGCAGAAAACACACCTCCTTTCATCGCAATGTTGCGATTCCGCTGCATAATAGCGAGGCAAAACTTGGAATATTTCCCGACCTGCAGCCACGAGCGGCGGCCATGAGAAACAAGCGGCGTGACGTCACTTGGGTCGTTGTAAGAAAGATAGCAAGTTGTGCGAATACCTGCTCGATAAAAGGTAACTCTTTTTACAAATCTTGTCGTTCCAACATATATATAAATGCGTCAACACCCTGGTATCATCGACAACTTTTATTATACGGAGTTTTAGTGGCGCCATCTATCCTAGGTCCACAAAACCGCGAACAGCCGCCAGAAGCCGGAGGGGGAGGGGGACAGCGCCGGACGGGCAAGGACGGGTGGTCACGCGGTCGGCAGCGGATGAGTTCTCGCTGCTCGCTGATGGCTCTAAAGAGAGAACTTTTCCGGAACTCCGCGCCTACTCTAGTGACGTCACTGTGCACGTGACCCGGAAGACGATGCACGAGTTGAGAGGCGGCAAAAACCTGGATCTTTTTCATTTTTTTATGTAAAAACTAGGGTATCCAGGCAAAATCTGTTTTCTGTAGTTCACTGCAGAAGTGTCAGGCATCAACTTCCACAATTATTTAAGCAAAGCCCTGAAATTGTTGCACAGCTCCTTTAAGCCGACTGAGTCCAGTATTGCGAACAAAGGACATCATGAAGGTCCTCTTAAACTTTTCTTGAAGTTGTTCTGTTCTGGTTCAAGCTATTCCACGAAGGCAAGTCGATAAAAGACAGCAACGATTGCCTTAAATGCCTGTAAACACTGGTTTATCAAATGAGGAGTACAATCTCAAAACAGTTTAGATATACGAGGCATTGGAGTCATAACGAGACCAAACTAACTTTTAATGCGTGGATATATGCGCGTGTGCAGGCGTGGACCAAAGAAACGGGGACTTGTCAGTTTATTCGATGAAAGGATGGATGGATGGATATGGCAGAACCCTTTGAATTGGGCAGCGGCCTGCGCCACCTGGTGACGATAGAAGGAACTCTTGTCTGCCTGAGAAATCTCTGGTGTGCATTCTCAACATTCGCGTGAACTCAATTAGTGTAAACGGCTTGTCCCATAGCTGACCTCTTTTTTAGTGAGACAAAACTCGGCGAACGGTGTTTATTGGCGTTCAACCGCGCCAATAAGCGGTGCGACCCATTTACACCACTAAACACATCAACCAAATTGTATTCCGCACCATCCAGTTGCTTTAACATGCGTGATGAAACCCGTTTAGCAGTTCCAGTCACTTTAGTCCACGGCTGAATTTTCAATTTAGGGCTGCCTTTGCATCTGGTGGCATAAAAACCGATCGATTCAGTAAATGGGAAAAAAAATTAGCTGACAGAATCGACAGCGATAACAAAAATAAGCAAACCGCAACACTTAACAAGGTTATTTCACACACGCTCGCACCGAAAGACACATACACACACACAAAAAAAACGCTTTCATTTGCACAGACTGACAGATTCAAACACAAACACGCAAAAACAGACCTTCACAATACTGGAAGAGAGTCGACTCAGCATAGCTTACAAACAACAGAAAAGACGCACCTGGGACCTCGACGCACATTCCAGCAACGGTCTCCAAAACTCGTGCCACGACGTAGACCGAATGCCCAACGGTGTCCCTCTCCCCCCCCTTCACTTCTCCACCCCATCGACCCATCCATATACAGCTTTCTGCAGCCGTGTCTTCTACACGAACCTCTTCCCCGCGGAGACAGTGAGGAGTCCACCACGGTGTCGTGGGACCTCGCGCAAAAACAGAAAAGAAACCTCAGCGACCTCAACAAAACGAAAGGCGACGCCGGGCCGGACGTCCCGAGCGCGTATGCGCGCCCAGCCTCAAGGCCAGACCCCATTTTGTCCCCGTATTACGACGGAGCGGCGTGCGCGTGGCCGCACAGCAGTGCGCGTGTGCCCGTGTGTGTGTGTATGTGTGTATGTGTGTACAAAGAGAGGACAAACGAGAGAGAGAGAGAGAGAAGCTCACCTGCAATCTGTGCTGTTATGGAGAGTGTCGTGTTTATTATGACCATGACGATTATTATTATAATAAAAGAAAAGCTCGACCCTCACTTCAAGGCACCGTGTCCAGGTTTTTCCTTTCCGCTAATTACTGATGTCTTGTAGGGTGTCGCCGGCAGCAGAAATGAGCGCGTTCTTGCGCAAATGAATGTTTGAATGTTACTTTATCGTAAAGGTCTGTTCACACAGCGCCGTTTACTAATTTGCGTTACGTTACGGAAGCTTGCGTCTGCTTGCGACGAGAGTCACCGCCGGGAAATCCGTACTTACTACTTCGTACACAGAACGGCAACCAGTTCAAGGAGTAACTTTGCACGCGAAAAGCACGGATATGCGTCTCGGTGATGCACAACGTAACGTAAGAAAATGCAAGCAAACGGGCCAGCGTGAATGGGCCTTGAAGCTCCCTGCTCCGAAGTACGTAACTATTCGTTCGAGTCAAATTTATTTGATGGTATATGGAACCTAATCCCGTATTTAGAGACCGGCTGCTTCAAATCAAATTTGGGAATTTGAGGTGAAGTGTAACAACTCTAAGAAAATGTAACCAAATATGTACAATGAAATATGGAATTCAGTCATAAAACAGCAGTGGATACAAGAAATAAACAAATCTAATAATGCACACTTTACGATTGAGTTACAAAATGAGTGCCACGTGTTTTATAAACGAAGTGTATACTGAACTATGCAATGCACTAAATACAATGGAACGTAAGTATATCGACCTAAATTTGATACACTATAGCTCCTAACACATTTCGTTAAAAAAAGAGGGGAGGGGGGCTGGTCTATTAATCAACGTATAGAATCGTATAGGCAACTCGATATGGCGTGTTCAAAGGCCCTGTTTTGTATCAGTAGAAGTTAATGGTGTACCCTCACCTTCGCCTTCTCTGTGGACGTAAAAGACACGGCTGAAAGAAACACCTTCTTGATGACAAGGCCGTATTGCTAGGGTTTCTACGGGGCGCAGCTTGGACCAAAATGAACTGCAGGGCTGGTCGGGTAAAGACGGCAAAACGCAAAGAGCGCTTGTCCAGTTCGCTTCTTCCACTCGTCCTTGTCCGTCGTGGTATATTGGACCCCCGTGTTGTGTCTGCTTGCTTTCGACTCGTTCGACTCGCCTTCGAAGCGTGACGTAGAAAAACTGTAGCAATACGACTTTTTTTTTCTATTAGATTTTGCTTAGAGTGAAAGGAGAAAAGAAGGTTCGCGTCCATGCCCTACTGACAGTAGCGAATGGCTCCAGGTAAGTGAACAAGAGGCGCCAAGGTCGGCTACCAGTAAGAGCGGCAGGCGGCCAGAAAGGGCAACTTTGGGGAATATACCTGCCGCCGAACGATTACACAGGAGCTTAAGCGTTCATGTTAGGGAAGGCGCTCAGACGCTCAAGCTCTATAGATAAAACCGATTCAACGAATGTTTGCCTCAGAGACGAGAATTTCGCACTAGATACCGCGCAAAAGTTACCTTTTCCTTCCAACGAAAAAAGAAAGAAAAAAAAAGTAATATAAAGGATGCAGATTTACCCAAGATGTAATAAAGGGACGCAGATTATCTTATCCCCTCCTATAATATCTATTACAGAAACAGTCTAGCATAGAAGCTTTAACAATCCTCAACTCTCGGCTAGAAGGAACTATTTCCGCTCATCACCGTCATGAGCTCACGCGTGTTCGAGTTGAACGACACGATATGCGCGATATATGGTAAGCTTCCAATTATCAATTCATAGGAAAGTGGACAATGCGATGCATTTTGAAAGGCGGTAAGGTCAACCGCGAATGCTGGATCACTCAATTCGCCCACTCGCGAAATATAAAATGTTTGTCCACGAATAAGAGTAC